GGACTGCTTCTTGAAAAAAATTAGGAAGATTAAACCAGACCTTTAGGATGGACATCTTACTGCACTGACTTGCGGTATTACTTGCTTTGCTACAGCCATGTGGAAGATTGCAGAGTAGCTGAAGAATCAAGCAAATGTTTTCCTGTTGACCAAAGAGGACACAAGGCAGCAGAAGTGGCTTCCAGCTGCATTGGTTACCTGTGGACTTCAGGTTGCTGCAAGAATTGTAGTAGTCCACCAGGAGAAAAACGCTACAGGGTGCTTTTGATTTGCAGCAGCATCTTCCGGGAGAATTGTCTGTGATCTAGGACAAAATACAGGAAAAATACAGGAAAACAGTTGGGAAATTGTTGAGAAAGCAATGATAAGAGGAGGAGATAGGCTGACTTGCTGTTTCTCATCTTAGTGGCTTTGTGCACCTGCACTAATCCTGGATGAATAAGCGTTTTTAGTCCTTTACAGTCAATCTCAGTGGAGTTTTTTGTACCCACCAAAGCTCAGCATTGACCTGTGCAGAAAGTGTTGGGAAACGACAAAGTAMTGGCATCATTCTACCTGCATATCTGCTTGTAGATGCTACTTATTTTAATCACTGGTGCTCAAGAGAATGCAGAAACCTTTTGTTCCAGGACTGTAGTGGTGCTCTGGCAAGRACTTTGTGGCCTAGGGCTACAACCTGAGCATTGCTTCATCTGGAGCTTGCCCCATGACAGATAAAAATAGGGCTTGAGCTGCAGCCAGGCTGTGTCAGTGGTGAGGGTGCAGCCTCCCTAGCCTGTTACAGCTTGTGACTCCTGGTAGCTCTGGCATAGGGTGAATAATCACACCTACGGATGGGCAAAKAAGCAGGGTCAGTGCTGCCTGGGTYCCACCTACACAGGGGAATAGCTTGACAGGGGGTTGCTTCTTGTTGAGGGGAAGTGAAGACACTGACCAAACCCATTACACAAATTTGTCAGCAGAAGCAGCAGTGTAGGACTGTATTGGCTGAGCTATGGGAAGGCAGCTGTGTGCAAGCTCAGGCCTGCATGGAGAGTGGCRTGTGGGCTCTGTGCTTGCTGAGCAAGGTGTCCCAACTGCTGGTGAGAGATGAGGCCAAAAAACATCATCAACCAGATCCTCTGTAGTAGGTCATRGAAAGGTGAAGGTRTATTTGATTGGAYCTTCTGTAATATCCTGTGWCAGGAAGAGAGGAAACGGCCTCAAGTTGTGCCAGGAGAGGTTTGRATTGGAGATCAGGACAGATGCCTTCATGGAAATGTTGTCTAACACTGCAACAGACTGCCTAGGGAAGTGGTGGAATCACCGTCCTTGGAGGTATTTAAAAGATGTGTAAATGTGGCACTTGGAGACATGGTTTAGTAGTGAGTGTGGCAGTATTAGATTAATGGTTGGACTCAGTGGTCTTGAGGTCTTTGCCAGTCTGTATGGTTCTGTGATTCTCTGATCTTCTAGTTCCGTACTTGTTCCCATTGCTCACCTCCTCCTTGTCATCCTCTGCTTTCTCATGCCCCCTCACAGACTAGCAGATTCTTCAGATACCAGTGTTCTGTGTGTCATGACCACAAAATGCATGCAGTCCTGCAGTTCCAATGATTGCTAACAAAGCTGAGCCAATTCAACACAAAAGTTACTTGCTCAGGAGGGCTTCCCAAAAGCATTCCTTTTCTGCAGTTAGAAAAGCAGGAAGCCAAGTATCCCGCRTCTGCCACAAGCATTGTGCTTCAGGCAGGGAGAGCTTGAAGGAGTGTAATTATTAGCTGCAAATCTGACTTCTGTTAGTGTGCTTACATTGGATAGCTTTTCTAAATGCARCACATCACTGGAAATAAAACTTCGGTTTTCCTTCTTCGTATGTTGTCCATTATGACATGCCTGGCTGTTGAGTTAATGGCCTGAGAAGCATAGCAGAAACTGAACTATGTGTCTGTACCACCTCCTTGTCTGAAGTACTAACAAGAGGAAAGACACCTATAGATAAATTCAGCACATATGATATAGAAAACACAAGTGGAACATTAAAGGCCATTTTTACAATGTAATTAAGATGCTGTAGCATTAAAGTAATTTTTACCTGGAGACAGGACCCTTCTCTTCCTGCTTTACACTGCCACTGGTAGTTTGCCCATGATAAAATATTGTTGGAATCTGCCACCACCGCCCTTAGTAAAAAGTAGCTGCAGACAAGTTTGGTGGTGAACTTATTTGCTCACACAGGTTACTCCGCAGCTCTCCTGGGCAGCTTCTGTCAGCAGCTGGCAGCAGGGACCCTTTCCAGCATCCGCGTTTACATGAGGATCTGGCAGGGGAGTGTTCTCTGTGCACAGCCAGCCTCAGTAAATCTGAGCCTGACAGGCTCGCAGCCCCGCCGCTGAACTTTTAACTTGAAGCTCTAGCAGGGTGCTGAGTAGCTCCAGCTACATGACACGGAGCTTTGAAAGTAAATCACTGCGCTGGGAACAAGGGGAAGTCCAGCATATTGTTTTTCAGACTTTGCCTACAGATTCTTTGCAGTATAAGCACAGAATATATACACCTGGGAAAACAATTGGAGCAAGATGGATTTCCAACGCAGAGCTCAGCCGTTTCCCATCCCAGAGGATGAAGAGGTTGCGTACAAGGTCACTCCTGATGCTCACAACTCTGCAGGAAATGAAGGCGAGAAACCAGTGTCAAAATTGCARCGTAGGCACAGTGAAATAAAACTCTACAAAGAGTTTTGTGACTTTTATGCAAGATTGTAAGTTCATTCTGTTCAGCTTCGGGGTGTAACTGCAGTGACATTACTGGTATATTGTATATAATGTATTTTATTATCTGAGATCTGAGTAGGCTGTCCAAGCTGTTCTCTCATCCAACCTTTGCCACTGTTCTGCTTGAAACATTGCCAGTTGTATCTGTCAACTAAAATTTGAATTGTTACTTTAAATTTCATCATTTATTGTGCCAGAATTTTTTATCAGCAGTAAAAATGGGGTTGGAATTTGTAAAGTAGTCTCTCTGCCTTCAGATTGTTTGCCAGTTATTCTGGGMAAATGGATAAACTGCTTCATTGCGGAAGTATTACATACTTTACTAGTTTTACATATATGTGTTTCAAGGTGAAGCACGTTTTCTTTCCTAAAGAGGAAAACTTTACTTTTTCATTTGGTTTTGAACTTTGCTTCATGTTTTTGCTTGGATTATCCTTCATGCATGGCAATGCTTAACATCCTTAATGCTTGAGCAGTGCTGAAGTGATGATAAAAGATCCCAGTTTCTCTTGTGATTATTCTTCATTTAGGTTGATAAGGAGGATGGGGAAATGGACTGAGGTTTTGCCCCACAGAAAGCATACACAGTCCATGAGGACCATTGGCGAGCTTTATAGCTGATCACAGTTTATGTGTATCGTCACTGCAGTTTGTCCATAGGATTGTCTGTTATGTGTGGGTTACACCATCTTGCATCTGATCTTCATGTGAAATTTACCCACTTGTTTCACTGTGAGGGCAGTGGATATTTGGATTGCAGTTACCGTTTTCCTTGCCTGCGAAGATCTTGAGAGAAAGGAAAAAAAAAGTGCCAGCTAATAATAACATGTCAGATGTGACCTTGCGTAGGGCCCTTCTGTGAGACAGCGTAAGAAATAGATAAAACACATTCCATTTTGAACCACGTGCTAGGTGTTAGCTTGCTCCTTTGAATGGTGTGCAAGGAATGAATTCAATTGCTATTGAACATGCTGGGAGCACAGAGGATTTATCCCCTTGAAGGGATAAGAAGGAAGTCTTGGCATCTTGCAGAGAACTGCGGKCTCTACACTTAGAGCCACAGCATGATAGCTGTATCAAAATGTATACATGCATGCACATGTGTTTAAAATAATGTCACTTGCTTTATAACTTTCCAGACAGATGTTTGAGTCAGTGCTTTTGTTAGCCCAGACCTGATTGTAAAGAAACCGGACCATTGCCCTATATTTGCCCTCTGCTCCCACAGGGTATTAGGGCAGAGGGGTGATATTGAAAGGCATGGCTTTGAGAGTCAAGATATGAGTAAGAACATGTTTGCAAAGGAAAACTGTTTGCAAAGAGCCTTTTTCTGSCCTTAATTAACTGAAACACAGCTGTACTGTCTTCCACAGATGTGGACAGCTACCACACTGCCATTTTTTTTGTCCTRTACCTTTGGGAAGCAACCAGGGTTGCTATTTCAGTGTTTCTTTGCATCCCTGGCAAGGGTTTGACAGCTTATGTTGGCCTTTGTGTGAGTCACAGTGGGGCAGCCAGAGGATTCCCACCCTCTCCCTTGGCCCTGGAGTGGGCTATGAGCTGGTACATCATGAACTGAGCTCCCTGAGATAAACCCTAACAAGCCAATCAAAARTCCCATGACTTCAAACTAAATTTGTAAAATTAATTCAAGCCATGCAGAGCTTGAATAAGGGATAATAATTTAACTACTCTGGTTTTTGTTATTATCTGCTAGACTAGATCCTGCATAGTCTTTCACGTTATTTAGAGCTCTGAACTTAGGCTATTATATATATATATATATATATATATATATATATATATATATATATTAGAATTAGGAATTTGTTTACAATTAATCATTTAAGTTTTCCTATGTGATGCTGGTCCTCAATCATTGTTAATATTTGCCCTTTTCAGTAATTTTAATGTATTTCATAATTTTTGTGGTACTTCAAATTGCCTGTCTTTTCTCATCATAAAAAGCCTGTAAATGTGCCTGTAGTGACAACATTTCTGTTTGAGGTTTTTAACTAATTAGAATTCATTGCAGGTATTTTGTTTCTAAAGAGTTAGGGAGCAGCGAGAAGTGGTAGTTTTATTTCTGAGGAGATGCCACAAGCCATGAAGTTCATTGAAAAACTTGTGTTGAGCAGCTTAGCATTAGGTTGATACAGTTTGGCCTGGTGTGGGGGAGGGAAGACCCACAACCAGTGTTGTTGTGTATTTAGGCTAATTTTCTTTATTTTTTCTTTTTAATGACAGCAACATGGCGAATGCACTTGCAAACGCCATCTGCGAGCGCTGCAGGGGGGGCTTTGCTCCTGCCGAGAAAATTGTCAACAGCAACGGTGAGCTGTACCACGAGCAGTGCTTTGTCTGCGCCCAGTGCTTCCAGCAGTTCCCCGAAGGGCTCTTCTACGAGGTAAGCAGGGCAGAGGACCCCTCCATCTCCCCAGCCCCCATCCTGAGCCTTCATTCCCACAGCAGAAGTAGCTACAGGCAGATGGATAGCCTGGAAAGTCCCATGGGAGGAACTGGGCTCTGAAAGAGTATGCCCAGTAAAGGGAGAAAACACCCAGAAGCATTTCTGTGCTAATTTGGAGGGCATCAGTGTATATAACCTTACTTAAATGTGGAGTCTAATGCTGTCAGTGCTGAGAAGAAAACTGCTGGAGATATTTTTCTCAGTGCAGATTTTTTACCTGAAATTTGTGAGTCTGATTTTCATACAAGAAATACAGAGAAAACGTATTTCTTAGATGACAAAGTCATACAGAGGGAAATCCCATCATCCTGTGGTCCATAGGAGGTTAATGTTGAGTTGAGTGAGTGGCATGGGAAAAGAGATGATCTGTATGTCAKCATGCTGAGATCCAAACCAGACTGGGCCAGTGTAAGATYATCTCTTCAGTTTAACAGTACAGARCATTCGAAATTATCCGTTCTTGACACACTTTCAAGGGTTAAAACTTGGTCCCATTCATATTTCTCAGCTCCAGGTTGATTGACCTCAGCTCAGATGGGTATTTTGGCGTAGGTGTCATTTTCTTTTACATTCCACTATCACGGGGATTCAGAACATGGCTCAGCACAAAGTGGCTTTAGTGAAAGCTCTAGACAGGTTCATAAAATGCAAAGTGATTGGTATAGGGAACAATGGATTGTATGAGACAGGGAATTACTGTCAGATAAGGCCCTGCTCAAGTAGCTTACAGTCCAACTTAGGGTAGCAGTTGCAGGATTTGTGTCATATGATGATCTGRAAAGGGAGGTGAGCAGTGTGTAAAAAGAAAATTCTGTTCACTCACATACAGGTTTCRTCCTTTGGTAAGAGCACAATGGTTCATCTTCCATAGAAGCATTTYTAATTTTACAGAGCCATGTTACACGGTGTTGAGAAGAGGCTGASGGAGAAGTGTGGATTGCAAAAGAGAGTGGCTAAGGGGATTCTTGGGGATWTGCTTTTTCTCACTTCGAGGATCAAAAGGCTCTAGGAATAATGTTGCACAAATTGTAGTAAATCAGTAAATCTGATGTTCCATAAGACATCAAAAGGTGAGCTGCAAGGCAGAATTAATTAAATACAAACAAAAGAATACCCCCYGAGATACTTAACAAGTTGCATTACAATGTTAATATATACTGAGGTGACTCAGGAGAGTCCTGTGTTAAGATCTGAGACGAATGTAAAGTGATATGAATGTTTCAAAACTAAAATATTTGTAATCACGTTAATAAAATTGTCTTAAACCAATGAAATGTATTTTCTCTAAATAATGAATACTTTATTCAATYTTTTGCTGACTCAAAAAGCATTGAGACATTCCAGGGACCTCTTTCAGAAAATTGAATGATCCTTAAAGATAAGGAGAAATTGTGCTCTAGGCAGCCTGTATCTTCTAGGGGTTGCAGGAAGACTGTAGTGGAAAGAAAGTCCTGCTTTTGGACAWAGTTCAGGAATGTTACAATCTCTCTCTTCTTCATGGGTGGCCATACCTGAAACACTGTGGCAGAGGGCAAATATCCTAGTAGTGTTAGATATATTGGATGTRGGCATTTTGCTTCCTACTGCTACCTTGTTAGCATTCATATTGATGATGACTGGCCTTTGAGCATCTCTTACTGAAACATGCTGCTCTCAAAGACAGTGAGTCTGAAGTGAGTGTCTGTAGATTTTCYCAGGAATTGAAATAACACTGTGTGCTAAATATGTTTTGGCTAGAGTTTGGCTTTTTTCTAGGCTGGGTAACTTGAGAAATATTACATAGAARGTGGAGAGTTTCAGTTAAGGATAGACGCTTCTTGCCACAGTTATTACGGAGGTAAAATGACATTGGATAGGCTGAGGGAGCTGGGCCTGTTCAGACTCCAGAAGAGACAACTGAGAGGGGACCTCATCAATGTATGTAATTATCTGAAGAGAAAGTATCAGAGAAGGGAGCCAGGCTCCTCTTGGTGGTGCCAAGCAACAGGACGAGGCAATGGGTGGAAACTGATGCTCAGGAAGTTCCACCTGATCAAGAGGAAGAACTTCTTTACTTTGCACTGATACAGTTTGTGAAGTCTYGCTCACTGGAGATACTCAATCTGGATACAATTCTGTGAAATATGCTCTAGGATGACCCTGCTTGAGCAGAGAGGTGACCCCACCTACAACCTGGCCCATTCTGTGGTTATGTGAGAGGGAGGACAGCCCTGAGCAGGCAGAAAGTGGGCTTAGGTTGGTGAGTGCTCAGGAGTGGCTGACAGCATTCAGAGGACYTGAGATAATCTGTATCACTGTTAAGAAAAAGTGACTGGCAGAAAGGACATCTTCCTTAGACTGCTTAATGCAGTCCTTGAGAAGATGGATATGTTTGGAGGTGTGGCCAGGTAATGTGTTTTTCTGAGCAGGTTCCCATGGGTAAATGCAGGCATTTTTAGTTGCCCAGAATGAATYTGTGTTTATTTTGTGCCTGCTAAGCTAGTATTGCTTGGAAATGATTTCCAGCTCTTAGCAATTAGGAAGACAAATATTATTCCCTTGCCTATTGCAAGCCTTGCAGGGTTTCCCCAGTTAGTTATTAAGTTGCTTATCACATTTGCTGTCAAATGCTGCTGAGATAAGCTGTCACACAGTGTTCCATGGGTGGGGGTGGAACCGGTCAGGTCTCCTGTGCTGCAGGACTTGTCTCTGGGCTCCCTTGCAGTGACTCTGATCAGCACAGCTCACTGTAGTCTGGCACTGGAGCCAACTATCTCGTAGGCTTGGTAGTGCCCATCCACAGCTTAGAGTCTGCACAACATAGCAGAAGTTTTGTGGATGTCCTCATGAGCCTGTGTCAGAAATGATATCTTGGACTCCTGAGAGCTGTGTGCCTCATTGTTGCACAGAAACTGTGGGTAGGGTATATTTGATCTGTGTTCCAGTTTGCTCAGTAACAACATTTTAGCAATTTCTTTATGCACTCAATCTAAAGAAAAATTAGTACAAACACATTCCAGCACAGTTTCCAAACTCGGTCCTTTGGTGTTAGGTGTGAAGTGGTAGCAATTTTAGAATGCTAAATTTTAATCTGCTTTTACTCTACCACGTGAAAGGTGTGTTTTCCCTAGATCTGCTATTAGAGTCTCTACAGGTAGCAGTGYACAGTCCTATAATGGCAGAACAGTCAGATTTATTTCTATTCCAGTTGTACCCCCAGTTAAAATGGTTTTTACTGAAATCTTCCTTAGAGAAAGAATCTTTAAAGACYCAGGTTTTGTGCATGTCTTTCCACGTAAGTTAGCCAAAAACATTCAGGTAAGCTGGAGGTTATGACAGGGTGCGATGTTTTATGCAGAGCCATTTACCTCATGGACCTTCAGCATACAACAAGGTGAAACAATCTTGATTTTAAACTATGTACTCTAAGATACATTACAGAAGCTCAAGGTTTTTTCTGATGATAACTCCTGGGTCACCCACAAAGGGCAGCACAAATGAGCAGARAGGTTGAAAATATAAACAAGACTGAATGGGAGCCAGCCTGCCTGACACAAACAGGAGGGGAAGAAAACCTGTTTGGTCTGTCCAGATCAAYGTGTGGTGGCTTTGAAATCCAAGCAAACCTAAGCATCCCCCATTGGACCACCTGTTTATGCAAAACAGGAAGCTTGTTTTTTTTTTAGTTTGAAAAGGGTTTTATCTGTCAGGAAGCAAGCACAGTTCATAATGAATCAGTAATTTCCATTACTCCTTGAGAAAGTAATAGCCCTGTGCCTCTAAAATATTATTTTTTTAAAAGCTGAAATGAAAAAGTAATCTGCTTTAGAATATTATACTGGAATAGCAGCTGATAAATTTCTGGCAGAGACTTCTGAAAAAGTCTATACKGAGCTACTGTCTTCCTAATAGATGCAATTCAGGTTGGGCACAGGAATTTTCTAACCTTAAATATCTAGTGACTTTAAAAATGTGTCATTAGATCCCCATCCTGCACCCAGTTGCAAGAGTATTTATTATATTTATATTGCATTAGATCCTTATCATTTCATCRGATAAAACAGTTAATCTTGAAACACATTGCTGTATTTTTTGTCCATGCACAAAACCTTACTTTGTGAGTAGTATTTTATGCTATTCACTATGTTTTGTCTTAGGCCACGTAAAAAGAGAGGAACAAGGTTTCCTGCTGTCCTCCTTTTTCCACTGTTTTTAACTGGGATATTCAAATCCAAACATTTTGTCGCATACCTAATATTGTCTATTTGGTTTTGACATGCTCATTGGCATTTTTGCCTAATAATGGTGGTGCCTGAAGGAATCTAAACATTTCCGTTCATTTCACCATGTAGTTGCCTACATTTGGCTTTGACTAAGCTACTGATGCAGTGCTGTTGATTCTTTTTATTCCGTATGGGTTTTCTTTTCTATGTGAGCTTGAGSTGTAGCTGAACTTATCTAAGCTGTGATAAAATTCAAATCCCTTAAAATCAATTTAATCTGATCGATGTAGTGAACTTTACTCCTTAATATTTGGACTTTATTATCTTAAGGGTCTTTTCCAACCTAAATGATTTTATGATTCTATGAAATAAGCATAATGAAGGAAAAGGCTTATTTCCCTTCATGTTTTGGCTATACTGCTCCATGAATTGCAAAGATTTCTGCCCCTAGGTATTCTTGATACCCCCACCATATGTACTTCCTCTGGTATGGTAATTCTGGCAGGAGATGTAGAGTGAGGAACACATCAAGCAAGTTCAGGAGAAATGCTTCTTCCCTCCAGGTGACCAAGGCTGTTAGCTAATTTTCTGCTCAGAATATGCTTGGTTGCATCAGTTTCAATAGTCTGTCAAAATTCAGACGTCTCTTGTGATGCAAATGGGTGACAGAAAATGCCTTACACTCTCAGCAGTTCTGGAGAAATGGTGTGCTATTAACACTACATGCTAACTAGACTGAAGATTAAGGTGGGTGGATGTAATGTCTGGCACATGTAGCTCATGGTCTGGTTTTTTTTTGGTTGTTTTTTTTTTTTTTTTTTTTTTTTGCTCAGCCCCTCATGTTTTACTACCTAATTATATCTGTAAACACCAGGGTGTTGCAGCATTTATGTTAAGTGCATGTTCCTCATCCCTCTAATGCTCAGATCTTTTTCTATTTGCAGTTTGAAGGGAGGAAGTACTGTGAACATGATTTTCAAATGCTTTTTGCCCCTTGCTGCCATCAATGTGGTAAGTTTTAACTCAAAGTGAAACACTTTACACCGATTACAAATGGGAGTGTCACTGGGGGAAGATGTGTTACCCCAGTGTCTGTTTTCTGGGAGGTGCTCATGTTCAGCTGATATTCTGAACTTCCAGAATGAACTAGACTTCAAAGAAACTGGAGAGTTGCTTTTTCTAAAGGCTGTAAACTAAAAGGATTTAAAAATAAAAGCTTGGATTCTTTTGTAAGTAGTTTAACTATTGAACCAACGATCCAATGAACAGACCATTCATAAACTCCTGATTATATCCAGTGAACAGACCATTCATGACTGCTGATTATTTATATGTGCTCATGTCTCTGTGTGCTGACATTTGTCCCCTCTCACGTAGCTGAAACCCTGCAACAAGACTCTGTCATCTGCTTTGACTCTTGTAACCCACCCATGCTGTCCTGCTTCACAAAAGCTGAGAGTGTCTTCATCATCGAGTGTTATAATCAAGGGATGGCCAGCTGGGCCCCCGCTGATTTTTTTGAAACAAATACCTTTAATGCTTCAGTGTCTAATGCCCATCCTACCTGAAACTGAGGGCTGCTTTTTATTTGCTACTGTTGATGCAAATGCTTTTGCATCTGCTGTGCTGTAATCATTTGCATATTTTCCTTTTCCCTTGTGTGTGATACATTTTGCTGAGACAGGGCTGGAAAGTCATTATTTGACTATTCCTTAAACAGCTCTGGAAGCCCTTGTGTTTCTATGGCACCTTTGGCACCTTTAACTTATCTCAGTGAGGCCTTTTCCTGTTTGGAGGGAGGGGTTGAACTCCAAGGGAGAGGGAAGTAGTTGCTATGGAACTGTGAATTTAAGGTGCAGATGTGAACAAGCAGGGGAAGAGGAAGAAATGAGTTGGTGGCGATTTGTGAGGAGCTATGCTGCCTGTCTCCAGAATTTCTCCTGTTTCTCACAGTTGTCACAGCTCTCCCTTCTCCTATCCTGTCTTCTGGTAGGGCCAGCTCCCTTAAAACCTCACCAAGGTCCTGCCCAGAGCTGGGCTTTTCCACTGCTTGTACTTAATAAACACAGACAAAGTCAATGGGGCTGTTGTCAACGATGAGGCCTTGAGCATTCCTGCCATTTCTGGAGCCCATTGGATTTTGTTCTTGGAAAGCTCCGACTTCATGGGAATGCTACAGAGTCACATGCTGGAGATTATCATCTAGGTCAGTTACCTGCCCTTTGGCAGCTCTTGGAGTTGTTCTCCAAAGCCAGAACTCAGCCTCTGACAGCACTAAGGAGCTGAGCTACCACTGCATTTTGCACTGCTTAGGGCCCCTGGCTACACTGTCCATCCTTATAGAGGTACGTGGCAAGTTAAAATTGTCATATTCTTAAAGCAAAGAAGGAGAGAGATGATTAGGACACAAGAAAGCTCTTACTATATGAARTTCTCCATAAATTTCTTAACAGTTTGAGAACAGATAAGTGAAACCAGCAAGGGACCAAAAAAGGATTATTTTAGAGACAATGTGGAGTGTCGGTGTAGAAGGATTCATATGTAAAGAGCAGAAAATCCTCAATCAGAAAGATGTTTTCTTCTTACCCATAGCAAAAAAACAACAAACAAACCCAAATGCCAGGGTTTGGAATCAGAACTATGATATYGAAAGTAATGTGTCCTACCTGATTYGGGGTAAGGAAAGGAATAATGATTATAGTCATTGTAGTGATTCATTGGTGGGTTACTTTTAACTTTGTCTASTATAGTCTTTTATATTCTGGTTTTGTTCTTACAGGTGAGTTCATTATTGGTCGCGTTATTAAAGCCATGAACAATAGCTGGCATCCAGAGTGCTTCTGCTGTGATATCTGCCAAACAGTGTTGGCTGATATTGGATTTGTCAAGAATGCTGGCAGGTGAATCTCCACCCTTCCTTCTCTTAACTGATCATAAATTAAATGAACTAATAGCAGGACTGAGAGATCTTGATTCCTGAAGCTTTCCAGCTTGGATGAAGCAACTGAAGTATCTGCTGTGAGAAAAAGGTCTAAGWGTGCATCACAAAACCAAGAATGGGTATCTTAGAATATTATCATTTTACCTACTTCAACACTAAGTTTCATGGCAAATATTTTCGCTACCCGGTGACATTTTGGGGCCATTGTTAGATTTAATAATGGAGAAAACATTCAGATATGGAAGCATTGCCTTTTATTAAAATGTTTACTTTTTTTTTTCCCCAACTTGGTTCTCTACTTTTGGTCTAGTTTGGCACCATATTTCTTAGTAATTGCTAAAAGTTCAGTAGGACACTTCAGAGAGTAGGATGTTTTTACCAGCTAGGATCAAAAGAATGTTTTACATTTTACAAGTGGATTATATGGCCATTGCCTTTTTACATATAATATGATATACAGAATTATCTACAGAAGTAGGACCTGTGTGCTCATCCAGCTTCCAATCTAAATTTTTAAGATTTTGAAAGTAAAACAATCAGCAACAAGAAGCTATAGGAAACTCTGTTTTCTGTGTTTCAACACGGCCTTAACTCAGCTGAGCTGAAAAAATTATACTCCCTTGGTGTCAGAAAATAAAATGATCATCCTGAACTTTGGCAATCATTTTAGTGCTTTAAACTTGGTTTGCCTTAGCAAGGAAGTTGTTTTAACAAGACTTGAAAAAGGACTGATTGGAATGATGTTCTGGGTGATTTTTGTTTGTATGTTGCGCTGTAGTATCTGGTAGCAATGCTTACCTCTCTTTTTTTATGCTGTTTCAGACATCTCTGCCGTACTTGCCATAACAGGGAAAAAGCCAGAGGCCTGGGAAAGTACATTTGCCAGAAGTGTCATGCCATTATTGATGAACAGCCTCTCATATTCAAAAATGATCCTTATCACCCTGATCATTTCAACTGTGCAAACTGCGGGTAACTTGAGTTCTGCAAAGGGAAACAGGAAAATGCTGGGCTTATTTGCTTCATCAATTTACATCTTAAAGTGAAAACTTGTCCTTTACAACTGACAAGAGGGGGTGGGGTTTGCATGTCTTGTGGCCAGGTGTTTGTTACTGCTTTTGGCTTGGTGGGGTTCAAACAACAGCTGTCCTGCTGGGGACTGAAGAAAAATTGGATTCTGCAGGACAATATGGTACTTTAAAAATATGAAGTATCAACACAGATACCATTTTTATAGTAGTGAACTGACAGCTCACTATTCTGCTAGGAGGGGTAGAGAAGTGGTCCTCTTTTGTTGCTTGAATTACTGTCTTGCCTATGTTTTTTTTTTTTTTTTTTTAATTGAATGGCATCCAAACTTTGTTCTCTCTTTTTAAAGTTTATCTTTTTTAGAAGCTTTCTCCCATGTCATTTTATCATGTTGTCCAACTGCAGCACGTGACACTGCACATTTCTAAATCCTGCACTGACGCAGAGATATAGGATGAGCATTGGAGCATAGAGCATTGTAGGRCATAGCATCAATTCATAGTTGTTTGTTTCTGGTGCAAAGGAAGCTACTATTTCAGTGCCATRGCAAGTCTRATTTGAATAAGAGTATGTAGTGTTRTATCAGTGGAAACCAGTTGAGAGTATTAGTGATTACAGTTGCTTTTAAGGTTTAGGTGTTCACATTATCTAACCATGCAATTACTGAAAAATAAAGTTTATAAGATTCTGTGATGGGAAAAGAATAAGCCTAGCTCATGTGTGTCTGTAGTTCTCTTTCTCTGAAGTTTGATACAATGAAAATAAAACTACATGTAGAGGACTACATTTTACTTTCAGTTACAATTTTGCAAATTTAAAACAAACTGGTGGCAAGTGCCAGAATGTAAACCAAATATCTGCAGCTTTCGCACACAGTTTTGTGCTGCTTAAGCAGAATGACAATAGCTTAGCAGCTGTTTCCAGAGAGACTCAGTGCACCTCGCTTAGCAGCCTGTTATCAGTTTACTGTGACCAGTCTTGAACTGTGTTGAACTACTGCTGCTTTACTGCAGTATAAATACAATTTATAAAGCAAATGCTAAATTTTTTTTTTCACTTCAGAAACTCTKAAGAGTTGACATTTTCGAGTGCCAGTTATTCATGCTCTCAATTCATTAACTTCTGAACAGGAAGGAACTTACTGCTGATGCTCGTGAGCTGAAGGGAGAACTCTACTGCTTACCCTGCCATGAYAAAATGGGTGTCCCCATCTGTGGGGCCTGTAGGAGACCAATTGAAGGCCGTGTGGTGAATGCTATGGGCAAACAATGGCATGTGGAGGTAAACATCAGATGCTATACAAAGTCCCTTACAAATGTAAACCTTAGCATATTGGTCTGTGATTTTGCTGATTAATTTCAATGAAAGGATTATCAAAGTTTGCAGCCATGAGTATAAATGCCCTCTCCAAATCTCTCTTCAACCTTGTTGTGGCTGGTCTTCCACTGTGAAATAGGAGTTATTTCCCACTTTACAGAGAGCTTTGGCTGTGAAACTAAAATCAGTAATCAAAGGAAGCATGACAAGATCCTTACAAAAGAAAATTTCAGGGCTCAAAGCAGTACATGTGGAAAGGCAGTAAAATCTATGGTAACCATATTGCTAAACATTTTAATACCCTCAGAAGACTGCATAGTCATCATAATACCCTTAAGTCTTTGATAGTCACCTGCTRTGTACATATTTCTTTAACAGTTCATGTGAGAGTTCATATTTCATGRCCACATACAAGATGTAGGTCCACATCTTCCATTTTAATTATATAAATTTTATTCCTTCTGTTGTTTTGAAAGTCTCCTTTAGGAAATGTTTTCCTTACAACGGTATAATGAWAATGCAGATTATTTAATAACTTAAYTCTGTTCATTGATAAAAATTGAGAATCCATTGCTTGATTTTTTTTTAATAACTTTTGGATTGAAATGTTGAAGCCATTAAAAGAAATATTATTTTAGTGGTCTAAATGTAGAAACARAAGTTTTAACTCTACTTTTCAAGATGGCTCAATAGACTTCAGTCATGTTCAAGTAGTGCACGTGGTTAGTTTGCTTTTAGAAAAAATTATGTTACTTCCAAAAGATAAAAAAWTGTATTGTAATTTTCTTTGTAGCATTTTGTTTGTGCGAAATGTGAAAAGCCATTCCTGGGTCATCGTCATTATGAGAGAAAAGGCTTGGCATATTGTGAAACCCACTACAATCAGGTAAGGTTGCATATATTTAAAAATGGCATTCATTGGTAAACTCACAAATCAGCTTTATTAGATAGAGATGTAAGACCATGGACATTGTTCTGTTTTGTTAAAGGCACCTGTGGGCATAATGGCAATTAGCATCTGTTCTGTTGAGTTAGATTTATACAGGTTTCCCTATTCATCTGTGTAGCATTAAAGAAAACTGCAGGTATTTCACAAAGGCTGGCCAGGAGAATCAGTATCAAGTTGTTCTTCAAGCCTAGTGGTATTTAAGAGCTGTTACAGGCTTTGACATGTCTGTGGGTCACAGCAGCTAATCTCTCCGAAGAAGTTAAAGATTTGCCACTCAGTAACTGTGGTTGGAGGCCCCAGTGAGTGGTGTGGGCTCCCCTGCAGCTGCTGCTCTAAGACACTCTGTGTTGATMTAGGCTGTTGCTCAGTCATTAGGTTGCTGATTACTTCCAAGACTAAATTTGTCAGAAGACACCCTCTAGTGACCACTTGCATTTRTGTAGGAATTACATGTCACRGTACCACTCCCTCCMGAYGCCCTTGGATGTGGAGTCCAGCACCATGGTGCATAGACCTTTTCTTCTTTGGAAGCCATGTGTCATGTCACGTTCACCTCCTTGCTTACATAAATACAGGAGGAGAGGTTACACTTGGGAGTTGTAAGGCATCTGCTAATTACAGATGGATTCTTAATTAGTCAGTGATGAAGTGCAGATGATTGGTGCTGGCATACTTGCCAACTGTAAATGCTGTGACGTTCATAGTAATAGTATTGCAGCCAGGATGGGGCAAGTCYATACACCAGACAAGAGCTGTATGTACAGCTTAACTAGAAAAATACATAAATTTTTGGCACTTCTTGTTATGTTKTGAACAAATGGTAAGCCTGGAAAAAGAATGGGGTTTTTTTCCTACATTTTTCTTTTATTTTTTTTAATAGAAATAAAATTTTCTAACAGCAATATATTGTTTTAGTCATGCATGTACGTCCCAATGTTAAATTTTCTGGTTAGTAACAAGATGTATGTGACACCAACTGCTGTATTTCAAATCTTCAGGATTAGAGAAATGTGTTGAAACTAAACAAAATCATGCTTACAGAAAATCAAATAAAGGTTAACAAATGTTTTTCATGCTTAATATTATCAAGATTCTTTGTGATGAGATGATGCAAAATGTACTTGGAAAACCAAACCAGACTTGCCAGCATTCTCTGTATTTCACTGTAATAAACAGGAAAGTGTGCTCATCAGCTGAGATACAGTTATTTTGCTAGTTTTAGAAGTTACCCTCAATAAAATTATTATGTTAAAAATTTATTACTTCTCKTTTCTCTTCAGCTATTTGGTGATGTTTGTTTCCATTGCAACCGTGTGATTGAAGGAGATGGTAAGCACTTTTCTGTTTCCTTAATGTTCCTTTTTGATGGAAGTTCTCTTTAAAAGTGGAAGTAAGGGGAAAACAGCCCTCTGTTTTCATTAAAACAAAAACAGTAATTGTCTTGATGAGAAATTAAATTAGAGCTGATTAGTCAGAGACCAAATGGTAGAAAACCTTTCATCATTTCATGATGGTAGAAGATCTCTCCATGGCTGAAGAGAACTGTGAAACCCCTTAGTGACATACAAAGGCCAGGGATGCTGAGAGATGCTCAGAAGTGGCTTCCTGCCCCATGATCTTCTAAACAGAACACATACACGGGTGAGAATAACCATACAGGCATCTCCTCAAATGAATTTGGGGATCATGATCCAAATTTAAAAAAAATACTTGGATACTAAAGATATAGGTGGGCACTCTTAGGGATTTTTTTTAAATACCTTGTTCCCATTATGTCAGTTTCAATCCTGGAGATACTTACTTATCTATTGCAGGCATCTGTCTTTTGAAAATCTAGGCTTATGAGAATTTCACAAAACCAGGAATGATCACACTTGGAAATACATGTCCTACAAAGGCAGAACTGCAAGTAATTARTTTGTTTTTATATTGTTTGATTGGGTTTTTTGGGAGAAGGAAGTGGTTTTGAGAAGTTTTTTTATGTTTATAACTAGCTCTGATAAAATGCCAAAACCAAATTATTCACATAAAATATTGTGACACGTGCCTATTTACCCCTGTCCAAAGTAAATACCATGTTAGCCTCATCGACGCCAAAGCCATTAGCAAAGTAGGAGGAAGCTTCTAACATTCAAAAAGAGGCATGRACTAGTTTATAGTCATGTAACTATAGGGTAAGACATGCATTCCGTAGATGTGCTTTCTCCATGTTTTCTGCACTGCACTATACCTGCAGAATGACAATTCAAAATGCTTTAGAGGAAAGAGGCCTCGTTTTCAGTAAAATTCTACTGAAATGAACAGAACTGGAACTTTTCTGATAGCTACATCTCTGTATGATTCTAACCTTTCACCACATAATCTGACACCCATTTAATCTCTGAAATGAACAGAATATAGTATACACTGATTTCTTTATTTTCAGTGTATGTCTTGAATTACATTTCTTCTTTCATTTCAGCACACAAATTTGAGTATGCTGTCGCAAATTTAGTATCCAGTATTGTTCTCTGTCTGGTGAAACAAATATCTGTGGCAGCAGTTTTTCAGGAGGGTGTCTATGACTGCATTACTGAGGTTGCTTGAGAGCAAAGACTTTCATCTGTCTAATATTATTCTGGAAAGTAGTGGACTAACTGTGTATCTATGGACATACTTGCCCCATAGTGCAGGWAAAACCCCAGCATGACAATGCTTCAGTTCTCTTGGTTGTTGACAAAATACTGTGAGAAAAACATTGAGAAATCGAGTGAGAAAAACCTGATAAGAAAAATATTGTCCTGCATTCTCTAACTTAGAAAAAGATTTGGCAGGGAAAACTGGAAAGCTGTACTGAAAGAGAGGAAGAATAGGAATTGGATTTATGTGCAGAACAAATAGAAAATAGTTACTTTCTCTGCAAAGCAAAGAATAAAAAGTCTTAGTCCATATTTATTTTCACCTTGGTAGTCCTGATTTACCAGCAGTGTCCTGGCTGCTGGCTTCACATTATTTTCTTCAGCTGGGCAAGTGCTACTGTTGATTGCAGTGCAGTCTGAACTGGATCTGAATGAAATGAAACTGAATGAAGACATAAACACAATTTTGCTCTTCAGCTGGAAACATTTCCTGATTAAGTTTGAATGCGGCCTCACAGAACCRTTGCCTCTGATCAGCTGGGTATGAGATGAAATAGAAGTGAAAAATAGGAGGCAGAAATAGGTTAAGCTGGTCTTGCCTCAGAGACAGAAGTATCAATGCTTCACAGTACTGCTTTATTAGGTTCTAAAATGTTCCTCACTAGTCTGGCCATGTTATTGTTACAGTCCTTAATACTTGATGCAAGAATCAATGACTGTTCTTCACACCTCATGAATATGTAAGCTTAAAATGTTTGTAGTCACCTTTTTTTTTTAATTGGTAATGCTAATGATTTCTTTTTTCCCCATSTCCCTAGTTGTGTCTGCTCTGAATAAAGCATGGTGTGTGAACTGTTTTGCTTGTTCAACTTGCAACACGAAGTTAACCCTCAAGTAAGTTACGGATAAATGTGATACCTTCAAAACCCATCAGTGGTTCTTTTCAAGGTGTAGATGGTGCTGTAAGTGTATGAAAAACATGTAAGCAGCATCGAGGAAATAARTGCCTCTTTCTTCCTCTTGCTCCACTTAGTACTTAACATCTCTTCCAGCTCTCTCTTCAGGTCTTCCTTYAGTTATTCTTCCTAACTCTTCTCCTTTTCCATCCTTTATTTTTTCTTGTTTAACTCTAAAGGGATAAGTTTGTTGAAATTGATCTAAAACCTGTCTGCAAACACTGTTATGAGAAAATGCCAGATGAATTTAAGCGACGACTTGCCAAACGGGAACGTGAAGCAAAGGATAAAGAGAAGCAGAAAAAGAAAAAGCCAATCTGTTTGTAAACTTCTTTTCCTTCTCACCACCACCTCTGCTCCTTTCTTCTTTGGTTAGTCCTAAGGATGCTTTTTTTTTCACTTTTGCATGAACTTGTGGCAGTCAAAACCAAAACACCTTTCACGCAGCTGCAATGCAATATTAATTTATTCCATTATCTCATGTTTAGTCCACAGTTAGGTTTGAAAGGCTTTAAAAATTGCATGGTTAATAAATATGGACATTTGGGGAAAATCTGTGTAACATACTCCACAGGGTATTGTAATTACTGTCCACAGTGTATGTAACCTTGTAAAACTAACTTAATGTGTATGTATTMATTGGGGGATTAATTTTTTGCTTGTACACATTTAATAGATTTTTTAAAAAAAATTTTCCCTCTATCTTGGCTGCTAAAACTTTGTCTCTTTTTTTGCTTTGTCGTCTTAGGAATAAATTTGTTGAGTTTGATATGAAGCCTGTCTGCAAAAAGTGTTACGAGAAGTTTCCTCTAGAGCTGAAGAAAAGACTGAAGAAATTAGCTGAAACTTTGGGAAGGAAGTAAAGACTTCATCTGCTCTCCTCTTCTTTGCAAAAATGTTATAGATATTACTTGGGGGGAGAGAGGAGTTGCTGCTCTGAGGCTGCAGTCAGACAACAAATGATTATGTATGCCTTATATAAACACAAAATTAATTAAGATTCTCTGTTCTCTATACACGTATACTTACTTGTTGACAAATAGACCATACTTCCAAAATAAATACCACCTCACTTGAAAGGTTTTTGACCAATAATGCCATTGTACTGATKCAGGTGGCCCATTTTGTACACTAACTGGGCAGAATTTCTCAGAGAGAGAAAATTTGCTTGTRAAGACCACCTGTCAAAACAGACTTKGCAAATGTGCCTAACTTTAGGGGCGTGTATTGTCATTTATGTTATTAAAAATATTAACCTTTGTATTAAGCATGCAGAYAAAACTTGCCCAACTCAAGTGATTTGGGCAGGAAACCAGTATACTTTGCCTTATGGAAAAATTCAAGCKTGGATTTCAGACTGAGTTGTCTCATTAAGGAACTTTGTTTCAGATGGTTTGAAAATATCAGATTTCTAAATGCAGCCACTRTACAAATGACCTACTTCTGGTATAGATTATGCTTACATGATGAATGTTTCTACATCAGGCTTAGCATGAGATACTTATATAAAAAATGTATTCCTATTGCAAGAAATGAACATACTCAAAACTACTTGAATTTTGCTATATTTCACTTAACACATAAACTTCTATATATGCTTTTGCATTCTATTTACTTTTTGTGCCTTATTCTGCTGGACCATACATAACAGTGTTCCATTAAATATATATAGTTTTATTTTTTATTTCATATTTTTATGCAGAAACAATATGGAAGGTATTTTCAAAAGATAACATACTTTGCCTTAATTATACATGATGCAAAAAACATTTTATTTGAAATGTGAACATCTAAATTCAAAATTTAGCTTCTAGACTTCATTGATTTTTTTGAACAATACTGAAAGTGCACACATTTCAGTTAACTGGCAATATTACTTTTACACCTCTGAGTGTAAATATCCAAGGTTTGATCCTGCTAGGATCTACTTCTTTAGCCATCCTCAAGGACTGAGCTTACAAGTAATCAAAATTCTTTATAATATACATTTMGTTGTTTTATACTATTGACTTCTGTCCATGCAAATTTGATTTATTTTTCCCTTTCTTGTAACAGATACAGTTATTTAGGTCTTCTTGATGGTACGAAGTATGCAATTTTTTTTTTTTTTAGTTTTTGTACATTTGTGGCTTAAACAGATCTTATGTAATTACATCATGAGAAGTAAAATTTTATTTCSTGTTTATGGAAAATTAGTTACTTTAAAACATCTGCTTTCCAGTGTCATCAATAAAGGCCACGTTATTAAACCTTGTTTTGCCTCTCTGAAATAAATGCTTGAGATGGGTGGGAAAGCAGTAAGGCTCTCTTGGTTCCCTGAGCTTTTACCCGTGACTATGTAAATACTTCCTTATTATCCTGATATAGAGGAGACACATGCCTTTCCTTAAGGATGTCTGTAGTAGTTCTAAGGTTCATAAAAGAAACCACAGTTTGTTTCATAAAGAACATATCCAGTTCTTCTGGATATTTTCTGAATTGGCACAGGCACAGGTTTTCCTAAAGGATCTTGTCTGAGTGTTAAACATACCTCCTCCTGTTAACTTTCACTCTCCTGTTTTCACTGTYTTGGAACTGTCACCCAAACTTCCAGCTTACTGCTTGGTAGGGTATTTTTCAACTATTTTATCCTACATAATTATTTWATGCCATAACATTCATAAATGCAGTCCCTGACCTTGTTGAAGACCACAAAAGCTTAAAATGTCCCTCAAAAATTGTTTACATAAGTAGCACAGCAGCCCTGTTGGGATTTTGGACTGTGCCATGGATTGACTACACCATACTCAGGAATSCTTCTCCTGCAGTTGTAATTAATGGCTAGATTTTCATGCTACACTGACTGTAGATCTCTTCCTTCAGCCTATGTGTGCACAGCCTTACTGCTCTGAGTTGGGAAGGGTCACTGGCCCCAAGGCTAAATGGCAAGACTGGCTCACATCCACATGGCTCGGGGTTATATCCATCTGTAGCACAGTGGCCTCAGATTTCCTCTCCACTCTGGTAGCCTGACACAGGGTGGATTTTTCCATGTCCAAGTTCCTGATTGTGAACACTGTGCTGCAGTTCACCAAGGCAGCAGCTTCTGCTTCATGAACTCAATCTTGCGTGTGTCAGACCCCAAATGTAGTGCTGAAAGCATCTTAAGGTACTTGGGGGTTCAAAGCCTGATAAAATTAATCAAAATTCAAAGCCTGATAAAATTAATAAAAAAATGCTGGTTGGAAGGGACCATTAGAGATGAGCTAGCCCAGCCATCCACTCAGAGTGGGTCTAACTTCAGAGTTGCATCAGTGCAGAAGGACTTGCTTAACCAAACTGTGAACATCACCACAGAAGGCGATCTCACAGACCTCTGTGGACAGGATGTTCCAGTGCTTCATCACCCTCATAGTGAAAATAYTATTACTGGAGTACTATCTCAAGAGGAGAGTTCCCCAAATCCATACTGCTCTCTTGGGAGCTGTCTGACATAAACTGTCATTGGAATAATACCCCTGGACACTGCCATGAAGAGGATTAATTAAAGGCAGTTGCAAAGCAGAACAAGGGAGCAAGCCAGCAATTAGGCAGCCTGGACAATTACACGTCTGGTGCTGAAGCTCACTTCCTGGCCCAATAGTATTACAAATATTTTGCATAGCTGCGCATACTTTCCTGAAAGAGGCAGAATCTGGTACTGTTTTTCTATTCATGACCCCTCTAAGGTCTGTCAAWGAGTCTTTGAGCCTGAGTTTGGGAATGGATGCCTCAAAAGCTTTGCCCCTTTCTGCTGCATGGATCAACTGTGCATGGGCAAGAGATTCCTTTAGGAAGCCTCCTGGCAGTGGGGAGTACTCCAGAAAGACAGTGGATGTCGCTGTAGGGGGGAGAGGCTGAGCCTAAAGCCTTTCTGCTGCACGCAGTGGCACGTCCTGTGCCCCGTTCCAGTGGGTAAGTATCGAGCTGGGCTAAACACAATCAGATTGCAGGGACAGCTCTCGAGTCATTGCTGTCTAGCAATGGAGCTGCGACCACCAGGGACAACATGGGGAGTGCCATTTCCACAGGGATGGGTCAGACAGTGACCAGTGCAAAGTCCTGGACATGGTCTAGAGGAAGGTAATCTCTCATATCTCCCCATTAGCTGAAAAGCAGTAATACCCTCCAGTGAGCTAAATAAACTCCAGTGTTCTCCTCTGCACAAGCACCAATACTTCTATTACTTAGCTTGGCAGGTGCAGATAATAAATTGCCAGCTGCAGGCACACCATTAAAAAGTACTGAGAAAAAAAAATAAAAAAGTTTTTTTTTTGTGGAATTAAATCCAATGTCTGAATAAATCACTGTTAATAGAAGAAAGAATAAAAGAGAGGATTAATTCTTTCARTCAAGGTTGTACATGGATGTTGCTGGTCTTAAAAAATTGGCTACATTTCCTTAATTTTCCTGCAAAGCAGGTAAGAGCTGTGGGGCTGTCGGTTTATCTTAGATGTAGCAGGAATCGTATGACTGTCAATGAGTTATTTGAGATTGAGAACTGAAGAAATTTTTAATTACATTTCTTCAGAGACGAGGCTCATTTTGACCAAAGTGTCTGAACTGGCAGGAAAGATGGCTAATTCCAGTGAGTACAATCTGAGGCTTCCTGCTGGAAATTTCACCTCAAGGCCTCAATCCTCAAGCCACCAAACCTGTACAGCTACAACTTGCAAATCTGTCATACCTTGAGGGTTGCTGCTCCATCTTTTAGTCTGTATTCCCAACTGTACTTTAGAGCTTAACTGTTTAATCATACTATTCACAGCGCCTGGAAAAAAAAGGTTTCTCACCACAGCTGCTACAATATTTGGAGACTCATTTTCTAGAGCATTGGATCTCAGAAGAAGGCCCTTATGCTTATGGATTAAATGTATAGTTGCTTTGAACCACGAATTATAGAAKCATAGAATGTTATGGGTTGRAAGGGACCTTAAAGATCTMGTCCCAAGCCCCTGCCAYGGGGGACRCCTCCCACTAGGCCAGGTTGYTCAGTGCTCCATSTGGCCKGGCCTTGAARACTGCCAGGGATGGGGCATCCMAAAYCTCACTGGGCAATCTGTTCCCGTGCCTCAGCACCATCACAGTGAGGCATTTCCTAGTATCTAACCTWAATTGCCTTCTTCATTGTACTCATYACTCCTTRTCCTATCACTGCAGTTCCTGTCAAAGAGTCCCTGTCATGCTCCCTGTAGCCCCCTTCACATACTGGAAGGTTTCTATGAGGTCTGCACACAAGCTTCTSTTCTCCAGGATGARCAKCCCCRTCTTCCTAGGGCAGACGCTGCCGCCCTCTTATCAACTTCTGTTTCTCCTCTGGCCTTGCTCCAACACTTCTGTSTCCTTCTTCTGGTGAGGGCACCAGAACTGTTGCATAGCTTTAGGTAAGAATTATGGTAGTTTTAGGTGAGAAAACGCTAACRCTTTGTCTCCCCCACACAATTTTCCGTAACAGATTTCCTACCCCCGCTCCCCGCTCCGTGCGCATGCGCGGGCCCGGCCAGGCCCCGCCTCCCGGCAGTTTATGTGGGGGCGGGAGCCGGGCGCGCGCCGCGCGGCTGAGCGGGAACTTGCGTAACGCGCGGCGGCCGCGGCGTTGGTGCGCTTCCTTCCCCTCCCGCTCCTCCTTCCCCTCCCGCTCCTCCTTCCCCTCCGCAGGCGCCGGGCCAAGGCCGCCGGGCCGGCCGGGAAGGCGCGTTCCGCCGGGAGAGAGGCCGGGCGCGGCTCCCGCAGCCGCGGCGGCGCCATGATGAGGCGCACGAAGCCCGAGGTGGAGCGCTACGTCGCCTCCGTGCAGGCCGCGGCTCCGTCCCCCAGAGAGGTGAGTGCGGCCTCGCCTTCCCCGCCCGCGCCGGGCCCGAGCGGCTGTGCGGCCGTTCGATGCGGCCGGTGTGGGGCCSCTTCCCGTGCCCGCTCCGCGTGGCGGGCCGGTGGCGGCCCTGTCGCGCGTCCCGAGGGGCCGCTGCCCCGCGCCGCCGGGAGGCCTCGCTGCCCCTGCGCCGCCGGGCTGGGGGGCGGCTGCTCTCTGCGGGCTCCCCCCGCCGAGCCCGGAGCCTCGGTGCTGGGGCTTGGTCTGCTTGGCCCGTCCTCATCCATGGCGGTAAGAGGAAAGCCGACCCCTCTCTGGCGGGATGTGTTTCTGGAGACGCTCAACCCCCACCTGGACGCGCTTCTGTATCACCTGCCCTAGGTGACCGCGCCTGGGGAGGGAATTGGACTAGATGATTTCGAGAGGTGTCTCCCATTCCTGACTATTCTGATATTCTGTGAGTTATWGTGTCTTTGAGAGTATTTCTGAGTGCGTATTTAGTGAGGATCTCTGTAAAATCGACTGAGGAAGAGAAAGCTGTGAGGAAGGGCCAAGGGATTTCGCGTGTTGGAGGTGCTTTCCCTAACTGGGAAGAGTGCTTTACTAGAGATGTACATCTGTATTTTACAGCTGGTAAGGGCCAAGGGGTTTGGCGTACTGGATGTGCTTTCCCTAACTGGGAGCAGCGGTTTACAGGTGTGCATCTGTATTTTACAGATGGTAAGSCCTGGTATAGTTTTAAAGAATCCTCCACTTCTCTGAGCACAGACTTCATTTTCGTGAGAGTTTAGTTCCTGTGTTTCCCGAGTTTCATTTCTTCAGAGAAGAGTCTAAACAAGGAACATGTGAAATACTTTCAGTTTTGTTTTATGTGCAGTTTCATTAATATTCTTGTCTTTATAGAAGTATTTAGAGAGGAAAAACTGGGAAAAAAGAGTCTTGTGATTATGTTTTAGTAACCGGACAGAAGKATAAGGAATTCTGCATGACTTGTTGCCACTTTTCATTATATCTGGAAAAGAATCACAGTGAGCAGTCTGATGMAATTCATGGGAGCTTTTTAGTCCTGAAAGATCCTGGTCTGCTGCTCTGAATTGATTTTTTTAAGTTAGAATATTCAGCACTGTGTTGTGTGGTGTGAATACATCCATGTTCACCATTATGCAGTAGGGCCTTTATGCAGGGCTTGTGTACATCGTCATTATTTGTATGTCTTYCCCAACAGCAGCGAAGTTGCTCTGTGGCTTAATTGATTTTGTGTTGTTTAGAGCAGGCAAAGTCTAGGGCATGACTCTCCGAATCATAGGTGTTTAATTGTTTTGATATTCCTATTGAAATCAGCCAGAAAATAAATCCTCTCCTGATGTGCTTAAGACCGACTGGTGCACATTTACTTGTTCGAGGTTTTTTAAAATAAGTGATGCTTA